TTTAGGGTTTAGGGTTTAGCGTGTTCTAGTTAGATCAGTTTCCAGGAATCTGAATCCAAGCATTTTTAAGCCTCCACGATTGGCCGTAACTTTGCGGCACCGCGACCGAAAGGAAATACACTGCCAAGACTGCTAAGCTGCTACTCGTATCCATGATCACATCGGGAACCGGAATCATAATTACCATAACAATCGCCTTGCAAGAATAGGTTCCTGGCGGATGTGGAGGTGCTGCGATGCGCGGAGGTGTGCCTTTGCACGTTCAGCAGTGGCTCGGCCTGCAACAGAGCTTAGGCCCGTAAAAGGCCGGGACCCAAAGCAGTTTGTTTGAGGTTGGGATTATGGGATTCAGGATATACAATTTTGGGCTTGTGGTTTGGAGCTTGTGAGTGCACATAGGCACCTGAGTAATTCCTTTGGGCGCTAGCAGGTGTCGAGAAGAGATGTGTGGGGTCTAGACTAGACAATGTGGGGACCTCAATAATCAAACAAGGGTGTTGGGGGGTCTACTATAGGGATATTGCTACGACTCCTATATAAGCCAAACTTGGAGGCAACGTGGGACGTCTCGTCGCCTTACTCCGCGACCAGCGAACGGTGAGCTTGGACATCACGGAGTGGACGAACGATTAGCCGTCGGAAAAGGGAGGAGGGTCTTGGGCATGGTAAACCTTCACCCCCCCAAACCCTAAACCGTGTACTCCGACGTTTTGAAAGCTGAACTTCTACTTCAAAAGCCGAAGCGGGTGGGGGTTCGGCTTGGGGTTTAGAAAATCCTGAACACTGCAAAACCCGACAAATTCCTTGCTATGATTTCCCAAGGCGTCCATACAAAGCTAGGTCGGCTTTTCTTGGCTTCAGGTAGGGCTTGCGAACCCTAAGCCCTAAACCCTAAAGAAGCTCCTGGCAGAGTAGGGCCTCTTTGCGAGCTTCAGCCTCTCCGGGACTGAAAGCAACGACTTCAACCCACAGCCCAATACAGTCATGCGCTACTATACCCCGAAGCCATACCCTGAACCCTAAACCCCTAAACTCTAAACCCCTAAACCCTAAACCCTGAAACCATCCAAAACCCAATACCCTGAACCCTACACCTCTAAACCCTAAGCCGCTAAACCCTAAACCCCCAAACCCTTCCAGATCCCAATTGCGATGCAAACGCCGGAGAGTGAGCATCGAGAAGACCAGTCTCAGATAGCATCTTTGGATCCCTCTGTTTGCTGAAGGAATAATGTAGGGGCCTTATGATAATTTCCTATACTATTTTTTTCAATAGTAATAGTATAATATACCCCCAAAAACCCTATTCTAATTATTAAGGCCCCTATATTCTGCAGACTTCTGTGTGTGGTTTATGGTATACAACGTAATCCGAGAGTGACAGAGAACTGTCAGGCACGCCTTTTCCTTGGCCTGGTTCCCTTGAAATCTACGAACAGTAGGTCCTACATACACCAGCGAGTGCTCCAAACCTCCGAAACCGTAACTCTTACAAGTTTTATCAAGGGCTTGGGCTGTAAATCCCAAGCTAAACCCCTTGTGGGATCCACACTTCTGGACCGCACGTCGCCGCAGTGTTTACCGTTCCAAGGTCCTCGAATAGGGGGTGGGTTTCTTAGATAGTGTGCACAACTTTTGAGACCATGACGACGACGTCCTCTGCGATGTGCCGGGCCGAGGGGGCAGTTTACCTTTTTAGGGATCGGGTTGAGGCATCTAAAATGGGATGGTTTTGGTTCCGATGAACAGTCCTACTTCTCTAAGCCCGAGACGCCATGAGCCCGGCCGCCTCAGCGCTAACCCTAATATCGATATGGGGGTTTCCCAAAATAGGGGACCCTAATATAGTACGCTAAATAGTAGGATCCTTAATATAAGGACCCCAAAATAAGGTACCCCTCCCCCATATTCCGCAAGTTATCAAGAATCAATGAGGCTGGCTCTTAGTACACAGAAGTCCAACAACATAGCTTTCGCTGCTACGATGGCATTTAAAGGCTAGGCAGCTCCTGTAGGTCAACCCAGAGACGGAAGAGGCTTAGAGGCCAGTCCAACCATTCCTTCGCATTCCTGGTGACATTTCGTTTGTATATATATATATATATATCATATATATATATATATACACACACATATATATGAAATAATTGATCACTACCCGCAGAGGTCTTTATCAGGTAATAGTACTCAGTCAGTAAACCCCGAAACCCCGAAGCCGCAGCCCCCTGATGAAACCCTTGAGGCCCATAGAATTGAAACTCCCAAATAAACTCTACACCCTAAACCCTAAATTGCATGTTCAATCTGTAAGCAACGTCCTGAATCTCTCCAGCTTGAAAGGCTAAGCCACTGAAGCTCTACGTGCGAATATCACAGTCGGATCAAATGGTCATCACATGCTCTTCTAGCCCCTACTTATAGCATGAAACACTCCGACCTTGCTTTTGATTGCTGGACCTATGGACCATTATACTAAGGGCAAACCCTGTCAAACCCTGATCGAAATCAGGCCCAGCGTGAAATTAGAACAACCCGGAACTACCTTTTCTTTTTCTCCCAGTCTGATCACCCTAAACCCTAAAACCTAGATCACACCTCGGACTGGAACGAATTGACCAGATTTTTCCCATCTTGGCACACCGGTTCATTTCGCTACTGGACTTTTACTGTAGGGTTTCGGCTGCTAGGGTGGCCAAAGTTATACGTACGACTTCTTCAAACCACTGCTCCATGACCTTCTATCACTCCTGTGGACCATGAGTCCAGAGACACCCGAACCCTCAACCCTAAACCCTAAACCCTAAACCCTGAACCCTAAACCCCAAACCCCTAAACCCTCAACGCCCAACCCTCCGAGGCCTTACTATGCCAGCCACATAGCGCGGCAAGAGCGAGCCGCCGGCCTGGGATTAGTTGGGCAAGATGGGGGACGGAAAACGCCTAAAGGCTTTGGGTTTGGGGGGTTTGGCGGTTTAGGGTTTAGGGTTTAGGGGTTAGGGTGAGGGTTTGGGTTTGAGGTTTAGGGTTTAGGGGTTCGGGGTGAGGGCGATAACTAGAAACATTCCCTTGTTCGGAAGTCTACACTCCACTTGGTGTCGACCCGAGACCAGTAATTATAAGCCATGAGAGGGTTGATAGGTTTGCCGTCAGTTGGTTGAGCAGACCCGGTCTACTTGATGATCTGCAGGCACGTGAAGGCCGTGTGCATCAAAACAGGTCTGCTTCAGATACCACGAACCCCTGCACTCTAAACAACTTAAAAATGCAATATGTTTTCGTAGAGCATTGTCTAGTACATAGTCTAGTACATACCAACATGACATGAAAATGGCACAGGGTCGATTTTGATGTAGTTTGGTACAGTAGAGCAAAAGAAGAACTTGCAGAACAGTGCAGCATAGTGTCCTTAGCTCTACCTAAACCCCCAAAAGTAGGTAGAATAATGGCCCAAAACCCACTAAATGCCATTCTTCTACATATTTTTGTAGAATAATGGCCCAAAACCCATTAAAGGCCATTCTTCTACATACTTTTGGGATCCGGGTAAGGTTTACAGATCTCTAAACCCTAAACCCTACACCCTAAACCCTGAACCCTAAACCTACTAAGGCTGTTGACATGGAGATCCCGGAAGTGGGCATCGATGCACGCCATTGTGTGCGGATGGTCGAGGTGACTCGGGCGGCAGGTGTCAGAACGAATAGGGAACCATCTTTTTGTAGGTTCTGATTATAAACCCTGATATGGGATATATAGGGACCCTACAAACCAGTAGGTTCTGGTGGGTTAAGGTATTGATACATAGCTCTAGAGACCTAAACTGTCATGCTGTTCCATTTCCCGCCTTTCCCCTCCCCGGTCCACCACGCCGAAGTTTGGCTAAGCTGGAATGCGTCGCACATTCTGGCAAGACGTTCCCGACATCAAGCAGTAATTTTCGTGCTGGTGTGGTGGTGATATGGCGGGCGTGACTCCTAATGTAGATGCTCCAAGCGTAAAGAAGGACTTCCAGAAGGGACCCCTCATTTTCTGGATTCTGGAACGCCACAGACACCATGTCGCGTTGTGAAGGACTACCATCTACTGGACTTTTCCGAGCGCTTGAACACGAGCTCTTATGTGAATGTCGTTTTCGAGCCAGAGTCTTGGACATGAACATCAAGATGGGTAGCCGGATAGTTTTCAGGGTTTAGGGTTTAGGGTTTTGGGTTTAGGGTTTAGGGGTTTAGGGGTTTCGGGTTGTGGAATTGCGCTCATGGGTTGCCACGGCTAGCCATTCAGCAAAGCCCTCGGCTTCGGTTCTTAGTCCCTATGCTTCCAGGGGCCTTATAGTTAGGGCCCTAGACCCCTTAAGGACCCAAAACCCTAAATCCTAAACCCCAAACCCTAAACCCGAACCCTAGGGAATTATACTCAAGGCGCATCAGTCCTCGGATGTTTCCGAGCACTGATTGCAACTCCAAGACCGGCTTCCCGAGCTTGGGGCCTCGGAGATAGCTGCCGAAACCTGGGGTTTAGGGTTTAGGGTTTAGGGTTTAGTGTTTAGGGTTTAGTGTTTAGGGTTTAGGGTTTAGGGTTTAGGGTTTAATGTTGAGGGTTTAGGGTTTAGGGAGCAGCAGATACTGTCACCTTGAAGGAAGCTTTCTCTGACAGCCTTTGGGCAAACTTACGAGTGAGGACTTGGGCTTGCACGGTGAAGACTCCAGCGGCTTCATGTTACAACAGCTGTGCCTCTCAATAAGCATGGAGCTAGCTGCACTGAAGTGTAGGGTGTAGGGATGTTCATGGGCTTTGGGTTGTAGGGTTAATGATGTAGGTACTTGGGGGATTATGGTGTCGGGTGTAGCCTTGTTTACTATCTTGGCGGCCATTGGTAGGGGGGGGTCTATGTTTTCCATGGCTGGTGGCCGAAGAACGCAGAAAATGGACAAGATCCGAAACCGTCTCCAAGAAATCAAAACCAAAACACTGAACTATAAACCTTACCTGGGCCCAATAGCCGTTTCATAGGTGTTGGGCCAGTGTTTTACCTACGTTTGGGGGTTGGGCAAACCCTAAACCCCAAACCCCCAAGACAACAAGACCGTGGAAAGGAAGAGGAGCGGGTGGCGTTGATGGGTCTGAAAGTGAACTTGGCCGACCAGACGGTCTACCCGGAGTCCTTCCGGATGTGGCCCGGTGATGAGGGTTTCGGGTAATGGTTAAGGGTGATCATTCCCGTGATGATGCGTATGATGTCGGGCGAAGTTGTTTTTTGGTTGTAGTGAAACCCTAACCCCCCAGGTACCTACTATCTAGGGCCCTAGGGGCTCCAGTACCCTTTATAGGGAAGTAGGTAGCTGGTGGGATAGGGTAAAGTTTTTTGAAGCCTCCGGTTTATCGTTTCGGTAGCCTTTGATTTACACAGGTCGGAATGAGTTTAGGGGGAATATAGGGGCCTTAATAACTGCCCAATGGTTTAGGGTTTAGGCTTTATTATACTATTTGTGGGGGGGGGGGGGTCCTTATTCTAATAGAATATAGTTATAGTAGACTATACCGCCCCAAAACCCTCTTCTCATTGTTAAGGCCCCTACATGTGTCGCATGTCCTTCCAGGGAATGGTCGATTCTGGGGCTCAGCATATAGCAAACCGCAAAAAGTTGGAAACCGGATTCCTGACGAATAGTGCTGGGATTCCCGATACAATACTCTTTAAGGATTGAGGCTAATTCGGTCTCCAAGTTTGGGGCTTCTACTATAGCTACGAGGAGTCTGGGTGTGGAAGTTTTGTGGAATTCAAAGCCAGGTCCTAAACCCTAAACCCTAGATACTGAACCCTAAACCCTAAACCCCAAGATGGGGCCTCTCAGGGTGAGGGTTTCGAAGTTGCTCGGTTCCCCGAAGTCAGAGAAGTAAGCCGAAGTTTGAAGGTGTGCCTGGCATCAAGCGTTGCAGGAAAAGCTCGGGGCACTAAGTCCTGGGCCCTTAGCCCTAAAGCCTAAACCCTAAACCCTAAACCCTAAACCCTAAACCTTAACTCTCTCAGCCCTAACTAGCCGAGGCACAACGACACCCTGAACATGAGACTTGGCACTGACCAGCGCAGATCTGGGGTTAAGGATGGATGATAGTACTGGTAGTACTTGTGGTACTGGTGATTGTCGTAGTGTCGTAGTAGTCGTAGTAGTAGTCGTAGTAGTAGTCGTAGTCGTAGTAACTCGTAGTAGTAGTAGTAGTAGTAGTAGTAGTAGTAGTAGTACTACTACTACTACTACTACTACTACTGCTACTACGACTAGTTAATACGACTACGACTAGTAACGAACCGATGAGAGGATCGCGAAGCTTTGGCACTGCCCTGTACCGGATGACTTCGACTCCTACGGCTGTTACGCCGGCGCTGGCACTGTGGGCTCCACCGAGGCAAGCAAGTTTTTGCCTTCAGGTTCAGGGTTATGATTGCCAGCATGCCAGTCATGAGCATGATGCTGTTGATAAGGCACATGTGATGCTGAGGTTCATGGTGCCTCTCGTTGCAACATGTTGGAATTATGTCATGCGAGGCAACAGTGATGACCGTGACATAGTAGCACTGCTTGAACAGCACTCATGACGCGATGGCGGTGGTAGCGGTGATAACAACCACAACCATGTTACGCACAATAGGGACGACAACTCCCTCCTGACGACAACATCCAAGGTGACATGAATGATGCTAAATCCTTCTACGCTTACCCTCAATTTTCTTAAGCCTTACTAGGCCCTAAGCCTTAGACTCTTAGACCCCGAACCGGCAAGCCTCATCTCACTACAGGCTTGCCTGTTAGCGGGGCTGGCTTTGAAGTTCCGGTGGCGGAAGTGGTACGCAGCCGCCTCGGCCGTTGCAAGCCCTCATCCCTGAACCCAAGTCCTTAGACCATAGCGTGTTTCAACATCATAAACCCTAAACCGGCTATCAATTCTATATACCTGTATATCTAGAAATTATAGAGAGATAGATATCACAGGGTTTAGTAGGTTACTGCAGTTGAGGGTAAACCCGTATACTGCATCTTTCGGTTCGCTTTGTGATCGCCCATTGCAGTAGACAGAGATGCCCAAATCTACCAATGCCAGATGCACACACAAGCGGCAACAGCCGTGAAATGTTAACATCACCCCTTATTTTTCAAGCCCTGCATGTATGCCATACTATGTAGCGTATGCAACCGTAAAATACTTTACAAATACCATTACAACAGCCAATAAACTTGCGAGACTGACCGGTGATTTGTGCTGCAGACCCTCGCCAGCAGCTCAACATTGGGGGTTCATTGTTTCGGGCTCTTGTAGGGATCCTTCCCTCAAACATCCACTCATTTTGGTAACTAGTTCAGTTCCATTTTCTCGGAACGTCATTGTCGCACCGGCATTCTGCTCGTGTTTCCTTCCGCCTACAACTAACTCAACGATCCTAGGGGCCACTATCAGCTGTGCTGTCAACAGCCCACAAATCTTTCTCATATCCGGCCCCTTTAGCCCAGGTGGGCGAGATTTCGTTTCAGTGTCTGCCCTTGTCAGTCAGTCAAGGCACAGAAGAAAGGCATGAAAGAGCACGAAGTGCGGGGCGTCTATCCCAACTTGGCTTCTCGGCTGCACGTGCCGAAGTCTGAGGCTCCGAGTTGCTGGTGCTTTGTTCATCATGGGGTTTGTGTCTTCGTTGCCCATTGCTGCCGGGAAGGAGTGGCAAGCGGATACTATCGCGGCCATAGTAATTACCTATACTCATTTGGGGGGTTCGTTGTTAAGTACAGCTATTTATTATAAAAACATGCCCCAAGTCCCTATTGTAATTGTTAAGACCCCTACATTACCGGCTCTGCCCGTCCTTCACCGTACCCGTAACCTTTAGGCCATCTTGCGGCCGTAGCCTAAGCTGTTAAGCGATCAAAGTACTCAGGGAGGTCTATAACCAGGACAGCACCATTGGGTAGACCCGAAACAAAGAGACATGCCGCTACGATTGATCCTAAACCCTAAGCTCTAAACCCTAAACTGATCAGCAGTGGTATTCCGACAATAAGAATAGCAGCGCTAAGAACAGTGATAACAACAGTCTTCAGTGCCAGCAGTCATAGCCATCTGAACGCAAAGGTCATCGACATTCAACTAAACCATCATAGCTTGAACCCGATGACATGTACAGCCTAAATCCTCGCAGCCCGATGCCCAGCACCCTAAACCTGATACCCCTCAAGCCCTAAGGGTTTGCGGCTTTAGGGTTGAGAGAGCACTGACCCCCGAGGTGATCTCGACTATGTTCCAGGCTGCCTGGGAGAAACTGCTGCCATCTCAGCGATGCGGAGTTTCTGCTGCGGATCAGTCCAGTACGGCTCTATGGGACTTTCCGAAAATTAGGGGTACCTTATTTTGGGGTCCTTATAATAGGGATCCTACTATTTAGGGTACTATATTAGGGTCCCCTATTTTCGGAAACCCCCATATACCGGCTACAGGCTCAACCGCTGCATCGTAAGATTCTTGCATCGCAGGTGTATTTTGCTTCGGCGCTCGGGAGTGAAGGCAGGTCAGCTGCATAGAGCCGAATGCACGGGTCGGATTCTTTCAAAATGTTATCCGCTGATCGTCCCTTCTAGAATTATACTACTGTTGCATACCCTAAGCCTTGTGTTGATTGTTATGGTCCCTACACTAGTCAGTCACAAGTCATGTCGGCAGAGTCCTAGGAACTGTGAGCGATCCCCAAAACCTGCTCAGCCCCGGAAGCTGCGCACAAAATGATGCCCCAAACCCTCAAATGGTAGGCGTCCACGCTCAACGCCATCCAACCCGAGGTTCAAGTACATGGACATCGAGCCGCGTTTCATCTCTCCCAGCTATAAGTCGCTTTGGCTGTTCTTGCGAGTAGAATTTGGATAGTTCTCTAAATTAGGGTCCCTTGTTCGATCCCAAAATAGTATGGCACCCTCATAGAAGGGACCCTGAACGCTACTCTAATTTAAAACAGCTACCCATTGAGTTTTAGGTTCCCCGTTTGTTGCTGATGTGGCGGGATGACGGACTGTTTCGCAGGCCAGTAGCCGGCTGAGGGTGTACAAAAGAAGCATCAATAATTCCCCATGTTTTGTAGGGTTCGTTATTCTAGCTGTACTATCAGGTACTCTAAAACCCTATTCTCATTATTAAGGCCCCGATATTAGGGCAGTTGTCAGAAACTTCGGGCTTGGCTTTTGGGATTTAGGTCTCGGATTGCAGAAGTCAACTGCTTTGATCAGCCTTGTCGCTCAAGCCGAAGGCCCAAAAGCTCAAAATTCCCGAGCCAAGATCGCTGGACCCCTCTGAGGACCTTTGTTCTTGATCCAAACAAGATTGGCGAAACGGAGCTGCACTGTCATGTTTCAGAGTGCGGACGTGGTTAGCCCGGTAGCCAGGGTCTGTGAACTCTGATGTTTGATGGAGAGATGTGGGGCTTAGAGGCTCTGAGCCAAGGGTCCGGCGATGATGATGACGGTTTAGGGTTTAGGTTTAGGGTTTAGGGTTTAGGGTTTAGGGCAGCAGCTGATAATAATGAATGATATAAGAGGAGGGATGGTAGGGAGGAGGTGAGTGAGGGTCTGCCACGGTTCCAGAGACACTCAAACCAAGAAAGCAGTGTGAGGTAGAAGTTTATAGTAAGCCCTAAAAAGTTGGAAACCGGATCAAGGACAAATAGTGCTGGGATTCCCTATACATGACTCTTAAGGATCGCGGCTTTTGGGTTTCCAACTTTTGGGCTTCTACCGCAAACCCTAAACCCTAAACCCTATACCCTAAACCCTAAGCCCCAAACCCTATACCCTAAACCCTACGCCCTACATTGAAGTGTTAGCCAGGAAGCTTCCCTACAGGATTGGACTCGGGCCTCTGTGCACATCCACAGGCTCCATGACAACCCCGAGCTTACATCCCCTTCCGCTGAAGCCTTGTAACGGCTAATATGGGGTTTAGGATTCAGGGTTTAGGGTTTAGGGTTTTGCCTTGTAACAACTAATTTAGGTGCCTCAATAGTTACCTATACTATCTTGGGGCTAGCTATATACAGAACAAAGGACCCGAAAAGCCTGTTCTAATTATTAAGGCCCCTACATTATCTTTGTGAGGCCGCCCCTTAAAAGAATAGAATCTGTACAATCCCTTGAACTTATCGGGCTAGCCGTCAGGAAAAAGAGGTCAGCTCATACCAAGGATTACATTGACGATCAAACTATTGGTGTGGTTTGCATCATGGGCAACCACTACGGAGGCCAGCATCTTGGCGACAGCAGCCGTTGGTGATTTTGTTTGCGGAGTCTGTGTGATTTAGGCGCAGGGGCTGTCTTGCCCCTGCGAAAATTGGGCGTCCTTGCAACCCTACCCTCAAGCTTTAAGCCCCGAACTTTACAATGACACGCTGTCAACTGCTTCCAGGTTCTCTTGCTAAATTTCCAGTAGGAAGCACCGCATGGAGCAGCACCACCAGCTTTTGTTGAGGAGAGGCTTGTGGATTTTGAACTTCTGTCTCCCGAGTAGGACTCTGCGCGACTAGGGGACGTCCTGCAGACGTGTGAACCGCAGTGGTCGTCCCCAGGGCTCCGGCGACCTAAATCGTAGGCTGCCATATCATTTACACAGTTATATACCACAGTAACCCATCATTTAGGTAACCGGAGCGCTAGGCGCTTCTGAAACACAACTTTGACACCAGTAGCACTGATCCGGCGTTTGCCGTTTTCTTTGTCCTGCATGGTGTCCCGCAGCACCGTTTCTTCTCTGCATGGAACGCAAACCCCTGAACCACTTGAACCCTTGAGCCCTAATGCCCAAACCGCAAAGCGCTTCATCCTAAAGCCCTAAACCCTAAGCCCTAAAGCCCTTTATTGTCAGTAAGCGTTACCCACCGAGACCTTGGCTAAGGTACGATCCTGTGTGGGATGCCTTGAGCCTAGCATGTCTTCGACAGTTTCCGCGGCGCTGATTTGGGTTTAGGGTTTAGGGTTTAGGGTTTAGGGTTTAGGGGTTGCTCTAGGCCATGGGAGTCGGTAGGCCTTAGACTTCGGCGAAGGTTTAATGGCAATTTCAGACGGGCGTCAGGTGTGCAACTCAGCATTAGGAGCGGGTGCCGTATTTTGAGCAGTCGAGTCTTCGTGCCTGCTGTGCAGCTTCTAAACGCTAAACTGTAGGCCCGAACACCTAAAATCCTGAATGCATTGAACCTAATCTCGTAGACTTTGACATTGCCCTACGTGCCTTACATCTCTGAGATCAGCAAGAAGCTGGAGACGATCAACAAGGAGAAGGGCCTGGAGGTGGGGCGCATGAGAAGGAGAGCAGCGTCTCAAGCTTGGAGTAGAGTAGTCGCTATTGGGTTTAGGGTTTAGGGTTTAGGGTTTAGGGAAGCCCCAATGACACCGGACTGCCCTTAGAAGGGGGTTCTGCATGGGGTGGAAGGTTACTAAGGGCAGATGGGCATCGAGACTCGCAAAAAAAAAATCACGGCTGTAGATGCCCGGATGTCCTTCGACTTTTTTGTGACTTTTTGACGGCTTTGCAGCACTTGAAAGGCTCTAGTGACTCTAGCAGAACTCCCTGTGGGAACTCGTAAGCCGTAAGCATGGCGGACTTCAAGTTGAAGGTGGATGAATCCAACAAGGCAACGGAGTTGCCCCTGCTCCGGATTTGTGGAACTGTTCAGCAGAATCCACATATGCGAGCGTTCTGGGGAAGCGTTTTCTCCTTCTTCCTCGCCTTCTTGGGTTGGTTTGCTCTCGCCCCCTTGGGGCTGGAGGTGGCCACCAGCATCAATATGTGTGAGAACCAGAAGTTCCCCCCCGCCGAGAATCCATTGCGGCCAGCCTATCTGAAGTACAAAAGCCTGAAAACAGGTCTGGAGTACTGCCAGTATGGCAAGGTCAAGGATGGTGATGTCATCACGGACTGCGCAGCAGTTCCAGCTGATGTCATGAGCAGTGCCACTGCGACTGCTGAAGAGAAGAGCCCATATGCGC